TTAACAATTGTGTTATTTGCTTAACAGCTGCGGGGATTGGCTTAACACCTATGGCAAAAAAATGGTCACAATACAGGAAGTCCTGAGCCCAAAATTTATGATGCTAAGTCAGACGTTTGTTAAGTGAGTTTTGCCCCATTTTAGGACTTTCTTGCCACAGTTGTTAAGTGAATCACTGCAGTTGATAAGTTAGTAACCTAGTGGTAAAGTGAACCTGGATTCCCCACTGACTGCTTGTCAGAAGTTCCTAAAAGAGGATCACATGACCCCGGGACACTGCAACCATCATAAATATGAATCAGTGGCCAAGTGTCTGAATTTTGATCATATGACCATGGGGATGCTGCGACAGTCACAAGTGTGAAGTCACTTTTTTCAGTGCTGTTGTAACTTTGAACAGTCATTGAATGAACTGTTGTAAGTCGAGGACTTTCCTGTATTGAACCCTGACTCACTTAATGGCTGCCTTGCTTAGCAATGGAAATTCCAGCTGAAAATCAAGAACTATCTATACTGTATTCTTACACCTTTCCAGAGCCCTTTGTTCCACCCAAATGGAGACACACAATAATTCACACTGATTTTTTTTAGAATGTCATGGACTGTCTCTGATATGAAGACATCTGAGATTATTCTGAAAGCAATTAGAGACGACTCAAGAGAGCTAGCCTAGAGATGCAGATTCAGATTTAAATGCTAAACACGTTTCACATCTTAAAGTAAGATAGTGATAGCTTCATCCAGTTTTCATGATACCTTTGCAATTTCTCTTTAGGCTTATGAGGAAAATGTGCTGAACCGTGCAGGAAACAAAGTTTAGTTAACATGCTAAGCTGCAGGCTGCCAGTGTGAATCAGGCCTTCTAAGCACTGATTTTTGCAAAATAATCAGAGCAATGGATATCAACAAGCAGGCAACTTTATATTTACAAAGGAAGGGAATGCCCTGTTACTGGATGCATGAAAAATGACTGCTTCCAGCTCATTATGTGGGCTAAAAAGTTGTAAGAATCCTAAAAGTTTATTTGGCTAAAATATTTCAACATTGCCTCCTTTAAAGGATTTTTTAAAAAAAATTATTTCCTTCTAGAAAGTAATAACAATCACACCTATTACCAATTGATAACATAATACAGTATTCCCCTGAAAATAAGACCCTCTTACAATATTTTTTTTCCACCAAAAAAAGATACCAGGTCTTATTTTCAGGTAGGAATGTCGTCCACTGACTCACTCACTTGTACAGGTCGCCCCCAGCCTCCTTTTCGCTGTCAGAGGCCTTTAGGAACTTCTTCAGTTTTGGATACCTGCAGCCAAGCTTCTCACACCTCGGCCCTTTTCTTCTGCAGCCAGCAAGGCTTTCCCGAAGTCCTCTATAGCTGATAACAAGGCTTTGTTACTGGCTACAGAGGCCTTCAGGAAAGAACACGTAAATGTGAGGCTATTAATTTAGTGGCATTTGTTTTTATTTGATTTCTTAAATATTTCTGGTGCAGGTAATACTAAAGCTTGATGATAAGAAATATTCCGTGGTCAAGAATTCTCTCTCCTCAATGTTATTTATAAATGTTGTGTTTTTATAGCCATATGTCTTTTCAGAAACTAGATAAAGGGAACTGTGAAGCAAAATTGTACAAAAAAATAGTTTTTTTTAAAAAAATCTGAAAATTCCAGTATCATTCTAGCCTTTAGTTATAACAACTACACTAGCAATAGCAATAGCAATAGCANGTGATGTTTTAAATTATTTTCTTTTATTTTTTTATTAATTACTCTTCTTTTTGTTTTGTAAGCCGCCCGGAGTCCTCTGGGATTGGGCGGCCTATAAACCTACTAAATAAATATAAATAAATAAATAAAGATACTCACCTAGAGCTCTTATAGCTGTTCTCCCTTTTCCCACACAATCACTCCTCACCCTCTCGACTTGTATGGCTGCGTGACTCTTGCTTATTTTAATTGTCTGTATGTCGTTTTATGTTCCCCTTTTTTCCCCTATTGAATTGTTCGCTGCTCTGAGTCCTTCCCGGAGAAGGGCGGCATACAAATAATAAAATTCAATTCAATTCAATTCATTTAGTGACTGCCCTCCATTCCAAAAGTCATGTCATTAAGCAAAATGGTCATAGATTGATAGAAAAAGATGCTACGAAGATCACTAGTTGATGCGGTTTCGTTCAAATAAAATTCTGCCCTATAAGTCCTGTGACTGACCCATTGTCCATCCCCCGTCCCTCCCGCCTGCCTTTCAGGGTGGTAGTATTGCTTAAACAAGCTATCTCTTCCTGAGCTGCTTTTCTCCACAGGATGGAACCTCCCTAAAAAGTGCTAATCACAAGTATACAAGCTCAAGTCTGTGACTTGAATTAGTTGAATAGAACCCTCCAGCCAACTGTGCTACTGCCTGAAACTGATCAGACCTTAATCAGTTTCACACCAAAGGCTTTTGTTGTCATAAATGTGCACATTGGTTAGAAATAATTTTTTTTTATCATTGTATTTGTGAATGACTGCTAACCCAGATAGTCACTAAACAAGGAGTGGCTGTATACAGAATATATTTTTTTAGGCTTGGTGGATGTTGCAGGGGAAATATATTGCAAAATCCCCATTCCTTCCCCACTCCTGGGGCAAGGATACTGTAAAATCCCCATTCCCTCCCCACCCCACTAACCTGCTTTCCAGCTCCGTTCTCCTGTGCAGGGCAATAGAAGAAGACCCAGCCAATCAGCTGGGACTTGAGAGGCAGCGAATAGATGGGGGTGGACACAGCCAGAGGTGGTATTTGCTGGTTCTCTGAACTATTCAAAATTTCCGCTACCGGTTCTCCAGAACCAGTCAGAACTAGCTAAATCCCCTCTCTGAATTAGAGAGTCCATAATGGTTTTAAGTAAAGTAAAGAAATGTACGAATGTTATTCAGCAGAGGTGGGTTCCTACCAGTTCGCACCAGTTCGGTAGAACCGGTTCGTCAAATATACCGAACCGGTTAGAAGAGGTTCCACCAGTGGACCCGGAAAGCAGGCCACACCTGTAGAAGAGGTTCCAAAAATTTTTGAAACCCACCTCTCTCTCTCTCTCTCTCTCACACACACACACACACACACACACACACACACACACA